CAAACCAAACTGAGTTCCTAGAGAGTTAGCATCAGTTTTTACATATGTTAAGGCTGTGTCTGGTGCACAGTAAGAAGTCAGTAAATGTTTATTTCCATCCCTCTGCCCCCATTTGTCCTTCCTCCTTTTGAGGCCTTGCACAGTTCTTGGCATGTAGTAACGGCTCATTAAAGGTCTATTCAGTGAGGCATGGAGAAATGAATGCAGGCTGGAAAAGTAGAAGCAGCCCTGTCCTCATATCCCCAAGTCCTGCATGCCTTGCCCTCCAGCTGATGGCCTCTTTCCCTCCCTTGCTCCTTCCGTTTTTCTGTAAGCATCACCCTGAGCTGTCCGTGTGCCAGCCTCTGCCGGGCCCTGGGAGTGCAGAGGTGAACAGGAAATCTTGCCTTCATGGGGCTTGTCTCCTCACCTCAACTCTCCTCTGCTGTCCCCTCCCCCGGGGCAGACTCCGGGCACTGCTCAGGAAGCGGCCAGCATTCTCCTGGGCGCTTGGTAAGTGGCAGGGGGTCCAGGTCGGGGCCCAGGTGGCGAGGTCATTGGACACGTCAGATCCTCCAGAAGTGAAAGCCTCTGGACTCTGCATCCCCAAATAGCTTCTCACCCCTAACCCCTCACCCCCAGTTCTCTACTTTGTGGAGGTTGGTCGGTGGTTTTGGCCATTTTGAGGAGCACTGGTTTGGATTTTTCTGGCACATTGGATGATCCGGAGGCAGAACGCTGACGGTGGCAGGTGCCCAGACTTCAGGGGCACCTGCGTTGTGGGCCTTGGGTAGAATGTTGTCCTGTTCTTCCACCTGCCCTGCTGTTTTTCAAATTGTGGGCCCAGGGAAATGCATGCTATTTTCAACCTCACTGGGTGACTCAGGATCAGGTGATTTCTGTGAACTTCAGGAGGAAAGGCACCAGTGACTTCCAGGGGTAGGTGATGCCACGATAAATCTTGTAAGATGGAACTTGCCTGCCTGCTCCTCTGGCCTGAGATGTTGTCAGCGCCGCAGACGTGAGCCACCTCTAGCCGGGAGGCAGGGACCGTGGTGGGGGCAGATAAGCTGTGGCTTGCATGGGCCTGTAATCTCTGCATTTTGGATGATCTTATAACTAAACTCTGGCCTCATCACTCCTCGGTATCGTTTGTTAAATGAAAATACCAGAGTTGGGAAGAAGCTCTGGCCTCTGGTCGTTTGACCCCAGCAGTTTATGGGACCTCGGGCAATTCCCTTATGATTTCTCTCTGGCCTTCATTTCATCTCTGAAATAGGGGTATTAAACCCTGTGTTCCCTTTCCTCACTAGAGTGATTATATACATTAAAGGGAGAGTTTGTAAAGGGTTTGGATCTCAGAAGAAAGGAGCTGTGGGACCATCAGGTGTGGAAAATTGAGTGTGGCACATGTGGGCATGGAATCTTGAGCGCACCTGTTCCAGAAGGAGCAGGGATGTGTGGCTCTTACACGTGCCAGCAGCGCCTAGTGAGGCCGTGTGAGAGGAGGGCGGGGGGCAGAGCCTGGTGGAAGGAACAGCAGGCTGTGTCAGGGTTCCCAGGTCTGGTGTCCCCACTCTTGTCACCACAGGCAAGTTACATGCCCCTCTACCCCTTGTGAAACAGGCATGGTAGAATTGAGGGGGATGTTGCGTTAGAGACCAGAGAAGGTGGAATGAGAAGAAAGGCACCACAGCCCGCATTCCGCAGTAGCTGGTGACATTTCAACTGAAAACTTGCTGTCTGGAAAGGGGTCTGTTTCCAGTAGTATCGAGGTCATCGGGTATGCAGGCTGACCTTGAGAGTCCATTCTAATTTGTGCTGACCTGTGTGAAAGGGACGTATTTCATACTTGAACTTCTTGAGGTAGTTCAGATACGGAAGTCTTCGATGAAAGGGAATTGACACAGGGGAGAGGTGATTTATGGCCCCTGGGCTGATCTGGCCTTTTTTCTGCATTTCTGGGGTCATCTTTCCCCATCAGGGAGCGGCAGAGATGGTCATCACAGACAGGTGATGAAGGTCCGGGTTCGGGCCTCTGGTTCATACCAGCACCTGAGATCTCATTCCGTACGCAGAGTGGACTCCTGGAGAGCTGTATGTTTCATTCCTTGCCCACTTTGGGGTGACTTCTTGACGTCTAAAGACACGGGACTATCCAGATCACCAGGCAGATCGATGTTACAGGGATTTTTGCCACAAGGAGTTTAAAGCCATCAGACAGAGCTAGGTGTGGGGCTTCAGATGGCAGAGCAAGGTTATCATTTGGGATGGCGGTTAGAGGGGAAGGCATCTCAGGGGGGCCAGGTGTCGTGGTACCATGGGGTGCACACTTCAGAGCATTCTAGAATCACCCAGGGTGCTCCCTTCCTTCTTCATTCCTTGATTGGCCACTGTTCTTTACTGAACACAGAGAAGTCTCCTTTCTTGCTAAATATCTTTGGTGACTTGTTACCAAACCTTTATGACAGATTACATCCTTGCTGCCACCCCGTCCCTTGTGGAAGCAGCAGCGTCACGCAGCTCTTAGCAGCATCAGGTCCCCTTTGTGTGACCTAGGACTTTCAAGCCCGGGGGGAGGGCTTGGCAACTTTGCTTTCACAGCCTCCTCCGCAGAGGCCCGCATCCACCACAAGTTCAAGAAAGATGGACGTGCACTCGAGCCACAGGGCATCAGTACCACCTTTTGTCAGCCCCCTAGGAAAACAATTCAGAATGTTGTAAAATATTTGAAGGTTCTAGAAAGATTTTGTTTTGGTAACTTGTCTAATCAAAATATTTCCCCTTTTTTAGGGGAAAAAGTAGCTGGGGAAGGCAAGCTGGTCAGCGAAGCCAGGCCCCTGGGCCGGCTGCAGGGTGGGTCCTACGTCAGCGCCTCCTGCTCAGTTGGATGAGCTCCCCCGGGGCCCAGCGCAGGCCCCCTTGGCCCCTCCTGGCTCTGTCTGTACGCGGCGTGGGTCTCCTGACCTGCTGGAAGCCTTACGTGGCGGGCATGCTCATTGCAGGGCTCTCCCCCTGCATTTGGCCAGAGTGTGGGCTCACCTCTCCAGGGCTGTCAACCCCACATTCCGCTGGTTGACCTTGACACTGTGGTGGCCGCTGCCAACACTGCCTCACTTGATGGTGCTTGATGTCACGGGGCCGCATATCTGGAGTTCAAATCCTGGAGTGGAAGACCTGGGTCCCCCCATACCTACGCAAGCCAGGCCATTGATACCTAGAGGGAAGTGCATTTGGGGTCCTGGTGGAGACGCCATAGAAACAACATGAGGTGAACCCTGATTCTCATCCTGCTTGTGCAGGGACTCGTGGACAAAGCCCTTCCTCTCCCGGGGTCTTTGCTTTTCTCCTGTCCCATGAGGCTAGTCCCCCTGAGTCCCCTCAGAGCTGGAGGGAGGGGAAAGACGGGAGATGCCAAGCTAGCTTGATCCAGGTAGCTTAGGCAAAATGAAAACATCATTACAAATTAAATTAGTTAAGTTAAATTATTATGCTAAGTGAAATAAGCCAGAGAGAGAAAGACAAAGATCGTGTGATTTCACTTATCTGTGGAATCTAAAAAAAACAAAACAAACGAACAAACATAACGAAACAGAAACAGAGTCACAGATACCAGAACTAACAGGCAGGTCATCAGAGGCGGGGTGGGTCAGGGGAGGAGGGACACAGGTGAGGGGGCTCAGAGGTACAGACTTCCAGCCACAAAATAAATGAGTCACGGGTATAAAACGCACAGTGTGGGGAATATAATCGATAACTAATGTCTTTGCATGGTGACTGATCATAACCCGACTTAACCCTGGTGGTCATTTTGAAATGCATGGAAAAAAATCACTATGTGTGTAATGGGAACGAACAGTCTTATAGGTCAGTGGTACCTCAGAAACAAACACACAAATGTACAGTTTCTCCTTAGTCTTCTGCTGGTGCTGGGAGGAGCCCACCCTTCCTGGTACAGATGAGGAAGCAGACCTGGAGGTGGCCTCTGGCCGCACGACAGTGACCCTGGGCCTGCTGCCCTGCTGCCGCCTGGGCCCAGGCATCAGGGCTGGCTCGCTCGCGCCGGGCGCTGGCGTGGGGGTTGGGGGCTCTGGGTTTCTGCAGTGCTGGGATCTTTGGAAAACTTCCATAGCCTTCGTAGTGAGAAAAACCCACTTCAGGGCTATAAAATGCATGTCTAGAAAAGATTGAAAACAGATGAAAATAGAGGATCCTGTCAGCAGAAGGGGAATCCTGGGTACATTTGTGCTTCCTCTTCTCTGTCCCTGGGGTTCTGTTCTGGGGCCTGACTGTGACCCCTGTGTCACAGACACTGGTCGATGTCCCTCTGGGCAGAGTGACGGAGGGAGAGGACCGCTGAAACCGGCTGTCTGGTCAAAGCAGACGTCCTATTCAGGTCGGTCGATTTCCTTTTCTTTTGGTTGCCGGAGGGGCCAATTTGGTGGCTATTTTTTGTTCTTCTCTGATGAGGACACGCATGTGACAGTCCATTTTTGTGGCACATGGAGAGGGCTGCCGCCACAGAGAATCCTCGAGGGAAACCCGAGGCACTGAATAGAACAGGCAGGGGGCAGCTGAGCCTGGGACGACGAGGCCGGGAAAGTCTCAGTGTGTGGAGGGTGCGTGTATTTCGGGCCCAGACAGAAATAGACACCTCCCAGAGGGCGTGCAGGTGGCCCGGGGCCAAGTTAGTCTCTGTCTCTGGCTGTCTCTCTCCCTCCTCCCGCCTGTTCCTTGGGGAGCTTCATCTGGCACCGCCAAGAATCATGGTTTAGCCTCTGGCTTCCGAGTGCGTCCACGTATCCTGCTGTTGATGGTGTGGGTGGAGGAGCAGCCCTTGGTCTCCCTGGGTACAGGGAATGGGCAGGGTGGCCGAAGTGTGCCCCACCTTGAGCCTCCATATGGACTCGAAACGTCATTGGAAAACTGCAGTTTGTCTTTGACAGATAATATATAGGCTTGGGCGTCCCTTCTGCCTGAGCTGTCCCCTCCCTCACTTCAGCATCATTCTGTGTTCACAGGGAAAGATGGAGACACTGAAAGACAAGACCCTGGAGCAGCTGGAGGAGATGCAGAATGACCCAGAGGCCATTGACCGGCTGGCCCAGGAATCCCCTGAGGTAGAGGAAGGCTGTCATGGGGCCAAAGACAGCAGATGGGAATGGGGCCCTTCTTAAGGACGCTGGCTGGTTGGGAGGTTGGGTCAAGTTCATCTCCTCTTTCTGTGGCCTTGCCCTTGATGTGGACCCAGCCAGAGGAGCCCCTGAGGTCTCAATCCAGTTCCTGGGCCCTCTGGGAGTTCCAGGATGGGCAGTGCTAGAGGGTCCAGGGCCCCCGCGCAAAGCCGGGCTCCTGGGGCCTTCAGGGACCTGTGTGCCCCAGGAGCCCGCACCCTGCTGTTCCAGCCTGAATTTGGAGGCAGCTTCTAGAAGCACTGGTGCTGCTTTGTAGCTGTCTTTCCCCAGCTGCCTTGTCTGGCCCTGCAGCTCCTGGAGGAGGAGCCGGGGAGCTCTGCTGGGGCTGGAATTAGGCCCACCTCCTCATCCTGTTAACCCTTTCCTTCTCAGAACAAGCACCTAGCTGTTGACTCAGCTCCTGATCACGGTCCCGATGGGAATGAAACATCCCTTCTGAACGTACAGAGCTTTGCCCTTTATGAAAGGATGAAAGGCTTTCCCGGCCCTCCCCGTCTCCTTGTCCCTGTGACTCCCCTGTGAGGTCGGAGAGGTCAGGTGGCTGGATGTGGCTGTGGCCGCAGGGCTGGACATGCCCATAGTCACACCCGGAGGTGGCAGCACTGCAAGCTGCTGCCTCCTGCCCCTAGCGTGCGGGAGACACGGACACAAATAATGCCAGGCTCATTGATTCGCATTTGGAGTGTGTTTTTAATCTTTACTGGTGAACAGAAGTGGTACGTCTCTTGTGTGAATTCACAATATCTGACCCCAGAAAAGGAAGCCTCGCCATCCAGCTTCTCTCCTTCTGCCTCTGCAGCCCAATTCCCTCTGCATAACAGGATGCGCAGCCGGACGTGCCCTCCCGTTCTCCCGTGCTGTGTGCTTGCTGCCCCGCTGTCCCTCTACCCGCAGGAGCAGTCTCTGCAGGGGCCGGAGGGCACAGAGGACGGGGCAGGGTGTGAGCAGAGCCACGGGGGCTGGATGTGGTGTGCCCTGAGCTGAACCTGAGCCAGCAAGAGCTCGTTCAGCAGGGACATTAGCAAAAGTTGTCCTGGTCTAGCTGTGAGGCCGGGCTCCAGTCTGAGCCAGCTCGGTGCCAGCCTTCACGCCTTCGCCTTCCCCGTGTTAAGCACCAAGTGCTTCTTGAATCTTGCAAGAGCACAGTGCTTTGGGGATCCCAAGGCCTGCCCTAAAGTGCACAAGCCTGATTACATCATTATGATTAGCTGACTTCCAAGCTGGGCAGGCTGGTGGAAATGGCGGCGGCGAAGCTCAGAACCACGAAAAACATAGGCAGAAACACCAGCTTGGGCAAAAGGCATGCTGAATTTTGTGGCGCGCAACTGTGTCTTGATGGATGGATTTGAATTCTCTGATGGGAGAGACACTCGGGATTAAGGGGAGATGAAGGCGGGAGAGTTCCGTAGACTGTCCAGACCCCTTGGGCTAGCTTTCTACCGTGGGCTGGAAAATGACACCTGAGTCGCAGTGCGCTGTGAGGAGAGACGGGAGCTCATTTAGTTTGGGGCGGGGACATTGCTTGGAGAAAAGAGCAGGACCTCTCCACGTGGACGAGTGTGAACAGCGGGGTCGAGGCAGGGTGGGCGAGCTCTTCTGGGTGGGGTGCTAGACTGTCTTACTGACCTGTTGTAATGTCTGGCGGAGGGCTTTGTAGTGAACCCCAGATGGGGAAAAATTGGGGGCGTTTCCGAGGAGTGGGGCAGAAATGGGGAGGGCGGGTGTAGGGGAGAGTGATACTTTGCTGGTTGTAGACTTACTGGTTGAGGTCCAGGGAAAAGACGGTGGAGGTATACAGAGGATGCGTCCGCTGAGGATCTGGGGCCCCCTGTTGGGCAGCTGAGCAGGGGGCTTCAGGCCTCCCACTCCGTGTCCGTCACTCAAGGGAAAAAAGCTCTCACGGCTGGTGACAGTGAGGCTGGAACTACGTGGTGCAGGTGTCCCCAAGTCAGTGTGCTTGCTGAGTGGCTCCAGAGGGTGTCTGTGGCAGCAAACCAGACAGCCCAGATATGGGCGCAGACCTGAGAGACCATGGCCAGGCCCCATGATTTCTGGTGGCCTTGGCATCCTTCTTTCCAGTCTGGAGCTCCAGGCCTGCTCCAGAGTGCATGGCTCCAGGCCCCCTGGCCAGGGATCAGCAGGGGGCCAGCCTTTCTGAAACCCCCTCCTCCAGGATGCCCCCAGCCTTCCTGCATCTGGTTGGGGATGAGCCAGTCAGGCTTGGTGGCCTGGTCACCAAGTGCCGACCACAGTGGAGAAGCCGCCTGACGGCTCCTGCATGGAAGCTGGTCTCGCCGAGCTGCACCCTGAGCCCGGCTGTGGGTGCCGTGTCCTTTCTTCTGTGTCATGTGGTGCTGCTGGTGTGTTGTCCCCGCTCCTGCAGGGGTGTGGGTGTGACCTCCGCCCTCCTTTCAGTGAAGAGGACTCCCTGGCAAATGGATGGGGCTTCAGGTATGAGCAGGTCTGGGAAGGGTTCCCAGGGCTGCCACCTCACCAGCTGATGACAACAGAGGACCTGGCTGATGGGCCAAAGTGCTGCTCAGCCTGGGGATGTGCTTTCAGTGGGGCACATATGGGCAGTCCAGGCACTAAGGTTGGTAGCAGGGCCTCGGGTGCCACAGGTCACCTGTGTGGGTAGGAGTCCTCTGCTGGCCTGGGGACTCTCTTCCAGTTCTTGGAGACCCCTGTTAGCTCATCTGCATGGCTTCTCTGCAGGATATGCCTGTGAAGGAGGCAGGGACAGGTCTCCCCAGCATCGGTGTCATGGTCTGGCCCTGGCTTCCTCCCTCCTCAAACTAACCTTCTTTGGGGGCCTCATGCTGTGTCTGGCCTGTCATCTGGCCGGGCCACCTTCGTGCATCTCAGAGTAGGGCTCTTATCTCCGAATCCTGGTGATACGTGGTTGGGACTTTTGGTCCCTTCCCTCCTAGAAAGCCTCTGACTTTCTCCACCCGCTCCCCGGAGCTCTGCGTAGCTCGTGGTGGGTCTCCTCCTGCTCATCTCATGACCCTTCAGTGCCAGTTTCCCACGTGTATCCACCACATAGGCTGCTGGGTTAAGGATGCAGTGAGGTATCTGGGTCGGACTACTTTGCTCAGAGTTTGTACCTGGGTCTGTCTGACTCTCCTTGAGGGCTGAGTGTTGCCTGGTTCCCCCACTGTCAGTGATGAGTCCCAGAAGCCCCTGGTGCCACCCACCGCGAGCCGAGTGCTGGTGATGGCAGTGGGTCTTACGGTCAAGTGCCCCTGCTCTTTCAGGTCCAGGACCTGCAGCTGGAACGGGAGATGGCACTGGCCACCAACCGGAGCCTGGCCGAGCAGAACCTGGAGTTCCAGGGTCCCCTGGAGATCAGCCGCTCGAACCTCTCGGACAAGTACCAGGAGCTCCAGAAGCTGGTGGAGCGGTGCCAGGAGCAGAAGGCGAAGCTGGGTAGGCGGCTGGCCCCGGGAGGGTGCACTCGGGCGCCTCTGGTAACACGGGGGCCCTGTTCCTGGCTGGTTTGGGAGCTGCTGGAGTCACGTGGAAGGACAGATTCCATCTCCCTCCCCGGGACAGGAAGGGGCCAGCGGTTACTGAGGGTCACCACTTCCCCAGCCCTGTGCTGTGCTTTAACAGCCATCTCAGGGTAGGCACTGCTGTCCCCCTCATGTCCTATATGAGAGGAGTGAGGCGCAGAGAGAGTCAGGATCGTGGCTGGGGCTCTGTGGCTCCACAGAGGTGGGACTGGAACCCAGAGAGCCTGCAGCCTGCACCGGCCACTCAGCCAGCCCTGCTCTGGCGCTTTGCAGAGCTGGTTGGGCTCTCTGTGACCCAGCCTGCCGTCTGTGAAGGTGAGGGGCTGTCCTGGTTTTGAAGGTAGAGGACTGGACACCCAGGCAGATGAAGAAACTGCCTGGGAGACAGAACGGGATTGGGGTTGGTGGGTGTGCCCCGAAGCCCAGGGCTTCTTGCTTCCCAGGCTGGTATGGGGAGGCAGGGGAGTAGGGTCTGGGCTGGGCTCGGGCGAGCTCCTCTCTGCTCAGGAAGGTGACCTGAGGGAACCGGACCGAAAGGTGTTCTGCAGCAGGACCCAGGGCGGCGGCTGGGCCCCAGCATGCAGGGAACCCTCAGAGAGCCTTGTGGAAACCGTGGCCTCCGATACTGAATCAGGAGGCACTTCTGAAATGTCAACCTTTCTGCCCTCCCTTTCAGAGAAATTCTCTGCAGCACTGCAGCTAGGGACCTTGCTGGACCTTCTGCAGATAGAGAGCATGAAGATTGAAGAGGAGTCCGAGGTGAGATGGCCAGTGACACCCCCGCTCCCTTGAAGAGTCAGCCCCTGGAGCGGGAGGCCTTGTCCTGAGCCCGAGGTCTGCGGGCCTGCGGGGGGCCGTGGGCCGGGAGTTAGTAGATGGCCGAGGTGAATGACATTTCCTCCTGTCTCTCTGTGGGGGCCCTTTTGGATGCAGAGAACAGGAGCCCAGCCTCACTGGCTGAAGCGGAAATCCGGAAATCCGGCCACAGGGCTGCTGGCAGGCCTGGGGGATGGGCAGTGCAGCAGGACCTGAAGCCGGGCCCCCAGCCACTCCCCTTTCCTGGGGCTGCCTGGCCTCTCTTCTCCCTCCCTCTGGGCCTCTCTTTGGTCTCCATGTCTCCACACATGGAGTGGGTGGAGGACGCTGCGGGGTCCCACAGCCCCTGGGCTGGCTGGGCCGGCGATGGGGAGATCGCATCGTCCTGTCAGTCAGCAATACACGCAGCAGCTGCTGTGAGCCTGGCACAACGCGGGGGTGGGGACAGCAGTGGCCATGGCAGGTTTCTGGTGAGGAAGACGGACTAATAGCCAAGTGCTTATATGACATATCCGCAGTGATAAGGGCCATAGAGAGAACTTCCCAAATGTGGGTCAGAGGAGTCAGGCAGCTCCCGGGCCCGGCTGACCCCGACCTGGGAGTATTTGGGTGGCCTCCATCCCGACAAACCCCTGTTGCCACTGGAGTTTATGTCTTCCAGGCCATGGCTGAGAAGTTCCTGGAGGGCGAGGTGCCCTTGGAAACGTTTCTGGAGAACTTTTCCTCCATGAGGATGCTGTCCCATCTGCGCCGGGTTCGGGTGGAGAAGCTCCAGGATGTGATGAGGAAGCCCAGAGCCTCCCTGGAGCCGGCTGGTGATGCCCCACCTCCCCGCCCACCTCCCCCACCTCGCCCCACCCCTCAGGTACCGCCCCCTGTGTCTGAGGATCTGCAGTCACAGCCACCGCCAACACCGCCACCACCACCACCACCGCCATCAGCGGCCCCTCCCTTTCCTCTGCCCTACAGCCCCTCTCCAGGCCTTCCCGCGGGCCCCATCGCCCAAGGTGCGCTCCAGCCAGCCCCCTTCCCTGTGGTGTCCCAGCCCTCCTTTTCCTACAGTGGGCCTTTGGGGCCCCCGTACTCATCAGCCCAGTCGGGGCCTAGGGCTGCTGCAGGCTACTCCTGGTCCCCACAGAGGAGCATGCCGCCCCGGCCAGGCTATCCCGTGGCCCCCACTGGTGCCTCTGGCCCTGGGTACCCCATGATGGGGGGCCAGGGCCCCAGTCCTGGTTATCCTCAACAGCCCCCCTACCCCTCAACAGGAGGAAAACCTCCCTACCCGACGCAGCCCCAGCTCCCGAGCTTCCCAGGCCAGCTCCAGCCCTCAGGCCCCCTTCAGCCTCCCTATCCCCCCGGGCCCGCCCCTCCCTATGGGTTTCCACCGCCTCAGGGGCCTGCCTGGCCGGGCTATTAAACATGGTCCTGGCCCTTGGCCTTCCCTACTTCCACCTGGCGCACAACCTTTGGCCCACCCACTGCTGAGATTCGAGGTTAAACTGGAAGTGGAGTTGGCTCCCCCATGGACTTGTGTCCCACACGGGGGGCCTGGGGGCACCTGGCTGGGAGTGCACAGGCCTGGAAAGGCACCAGCCGGTCCCAGCACTGGCTGCCCTCCCGGGGGAAGGGGGCGCCTCGTTTCTGTGACTGGCTTTAGCTTTTCTGGTGCTCACCAGGCTGGGAGCTCAGTCCTCACCGAGGGTGCCCGGGAGGGAGCAGATGCACGCGTTTGTGGACCTCTGCTTGTACCTGCACTTGCTCCTGGATGTCTGAACCACATGCGGAGTTCTCTCGATGACCGGGTGGCCGGGTCTCTGTCTCCTGCCCACCCCCTCCCTCTCCTCTGGGATTTGGCATGTTCAGCTGAGGGCTACAGCTCTTTGTGTCTCTCAGGTTCATTCAAGAATGGCCTGCCCTGCACACCATGTCAGGGTTGGATCAGGGGGAGAGAACAGAGTTATTAGGAAAAATACTTCATGATTTTTAAGTCACACAAAGCCATAATTGAACTCTCATAGACTGGTGTCAGATAATCTCATTCTGTATGCTAGTTTGAATGATGGCAGCGGAGCCAACGCAGTGAGGAGGCTGGGGATTGTGAGGTGGACCCCAGACCTCGCTTGCCCTGGTTAGAGGATCCAGGGGGCTGCCTTGGACCCTTTGGCTGGAGGAGAGGGAGCAGCTCTGGCCCAGGAGATCATGATCACATAGGGGGCTCATTTAGGAGTGGAGGGCTGGGTCACCTCCCCAGCCCCCCTCTTTCCTGGTGCCCTCCACTTCTGGCTGACCTCTGAGGCCCACCCTGTCCATCCACTCCTTTAGTGCCTTGAATCTCACTTGCAGCAGCCCCCTCCCTTCATCCCCTTCCTTTGGCTCCTTGATGTAACTCACTTCCCCCACTCCCAAAATCCCTCCTAAGACAGACATCAGAAGATACCCTGACAGTTACTTCCCAAATGGTGCTTTGTAAAACACCATCACTACATCAGAATCCGTTTCTTTACATCTCTCGTCTTCAGAATGTAAGAGGCAGGGATTGTGACTCCATGCCACATGCAGCCCCCACCCAGCACACTGGGGGTTTTCAGCACGGTTAGTAAGAGACATGACAACAGACCAAAGGGAGGGTGTGATGAGCAAAGCATTAATGTGGTTGTTCCCAACGTGAACCAGGTCTCAAGGGCAGACTCTGGAGCTGCTATCAGTTAGGAAGTCATATGTGCCTTGAAATGTCCACTACTCGAGTACCCAGCATCTGGTGGGCCTGGGTAGCTGGGGGCCAACGAGGAAACTCGACCTCTGGAGCCTGCCCCGCTCCCGGCCTGCGTGCCATCGGTGGGTGTGTGCGATCGGATGCTTGACTGGCGATGTCGGTCTCTTACCAGTTGTGCTTGCTTCTCAGAAGTTATTTATACAGAGAAATCTCTAATGGACTCTTCCAGTTCGAGCGCTTATGGACTGGGTGAATGGTTGCTGGGATGTTTGTGTAATTAATTGCCATAATAAACTTTAATGAGTTACAGGTAGTTTTGTGGCTCCGGTGAATTTAAGAACGGAAGATGTGGCTGCCTGTGAGGCATTGATTTTGTCGACTGAAAGGAAGACGGGAAACATGAGAGTTGGGGATTTCAGTTTTATTCGGAGGCCTTACTAAGAATTATATCTCGGTGGCTCTGAGAAACTGCTCCACAGAGGTAGGGGGAGAAGCCAGTATGCATATAATTTTGGCCAGGGTGTACGTGCAGTCAGGCACCTCTAGGTGTCACCCTAAAATCGTTTCAACTCTTCTGTGTGTCTCAGTTTCTCCTGACAGGCTAAACCCTCCCCAGGCGCTCAAAGCACTGGATGGCCAGTCTCTACGTGTGGCTCCCTGGAAGCTAGTTTTTCAGATTAATGAGTGGGTTTCCCTGTGGGACTGCTGCATGTTAGGAGGATTCGCCTCCGCCACTCCCGTAAATTTCTCAGTTGCCCGAGAAAGCCGTAACTGGCCAGGTGGAGCTGTGGCCCTTTGGAGCTGAAAGCTCTCATATGGTATCTTCACTTTCGTACTGGCAAACCCTGTAAAATGGCCAGTTTGAGGAAGGATGTCAGGCCAGTCTCCTACCTAATCTCCCAGTCCGAACCTTCCAAGTATCTTTCAACTGAACAATTTTCTCAGTATCTGTCAACTGAGAAGTCGGGTACTTTTAAAACTAACACTGAATGGACTGTCAACCAAGATGGAAGATCTGAGACTCAGGAGAGACTCACCCAGTCGTCTGGGCTCACCGAGGAGGCAGATGGGCACAAGGGGCCCTTGCTGGTACCAAGGCTCCAGGTCCTTGGAGAATTCAGGTGTGGAGAGAAGCTGCTCTGGGTCCCTTTGTGGTCACCAAAACTGTCAACTGAAAGAAAAACACGATGTAAGAGCTATGGGCTTCAGTTTTATTCGGGGACCTTACTATAGGACAGTTGCCCAGGAAACAGCCTCTCAGTAGCTCTGAGAAGCCAGTGTATATATGATTTTGTTTGGGGAATGTGTGCGGTCAAGCATCCATCTTGGTAAAAATTACTGTTAGTAGTGAGGATGTCACAAACCAGCTATCTCCTTTAATGATCTGTTCTCTGTATGGGAAGGTGCAAGAACCTGGGTTCATTAACATTTTTTCCCCTAAGGTATCTATTTAAGGAGCCTGTTTTTCCAAAGCACGGAGTGCCTTATCCCGTTTTTCACCCCACAGCCTTCCAGGGTGCACTGTCGGTCAGCGACTGCAGTGGCTAATGATTTGATTCCCCGTATGATGGATGATGAGCAGCATTCTTTGCTTTGCGTTTTCTCCCGCAGCCTTCAGGATCCTGCCCTGCTGAAAGGCTTCTTTGATTCCTGTTCACAAAGCCCCATCTTTCTAGATATTGTTTCTTGAGCTGCTGCCCTCCCCTGGTCCTGCACCCCCCGGGCCTGGTTCTTAAAGCATTTCCCTTTCCATTCCTACGCCGGCCGTCTCCTCATCTGAGGCATTTTCACGCTGGCGCGGGCACGTTTCCCTGGTCCTGGGGGAGAGCTTGGGCGGTGCCAGGCCACAGAGCCCCACTAGGGGGCGTGCCGGCCTCAGCGGAGCACAGGCCGCCGCAGTGCTGCCACCTGCTGGGCTTGCCAGGCCCCGCAGCTGGGGTCAGAATCTCATCCCATTTCTAAACTGGGATAGAGGGGCAGCAGGCCGCTGAACTGTCTGTGGAACCACGCAGTCTTCTGCCTCCCTCTCTAGCTCGCCCTGAGCTCAGATGGTCATCGTGAGACCTGAAAGAGTGCCTTCTGCTTTCAGGAGGAAGTGCAGCTTCAGGGAGTCAGGAGGCCAGGTTTCTAGGCCAAGTTTCTAACGGACCCTCAACTCAGCCCTCTGCTTTTCCTTCCCTGCAAGGTGACAAGGGCAGGCGGCCTGGGGATAAGGCCTGGAGGTGCCGAGAATCTCCAGTATTGAATACTCAGCGGGCTGCACCGTGTATTAACCGTCTATGGGCATTTTCTTGTGGGGTCCTCATAGTGGCCCTTTGACTCCCAAGTTTAAACAACAGGAGGAGACTGCAGGGTGGGTGGTTCAGTGACCAGGCCACACAGCCTAGGGGGATGGTGTGGAGACCAGACTTGCAGACTTGATCTGGCTTCAGGGGTTCCTCTGAGATGCCTTTGTGGCCCCAGAAGTTGTCAGGCTTCGAGAGGCCACCGTCCGGAGAAAAGCCTGGGGAATCTAAGCCCACAGGTCAATCTGTCTGAGGTCAGGTCAGAGGGTTACTGCCCTTTGCTGCCTCCTGAACTCTTGCCTTGCAAGTGTGTCCGGGACTGAGGACGCAGGACAGCAGGGAGAGCTAGGAGGCTTTGTAGGAAGAAGCTGAAAAGCTCACAGGGTTGGGGAGGGGGGCATCAAGTCACCTGCTCCAAGTTGGTCCCAGGGTGGTGGCAGGGTGTACCCAGGTTCGGATGAATAGAGGAAACGCCACTTTCTAAGCTGCTCGGTGGAGAGCTGCTTCCTCTGGTCACTCAGTGCATGTCACCCCAGCTGCTCTCCGCTATCCCTTCTCCCCAGGCCCTCCCCACCTTCACTTTGGCCTACAGGTCCTCCCCATGCCCTTCCTCTCTGCATTCGCTGCATGAAATCACTGGGCATCCTCTGCCAGACCGCAGTGGGCCTCTCGCTGCAGTGTGGGCTGCTCGGGGACAAGCTCTAAGTGCCAAGTTCAGATTCCTAGCTCGGTGAGAAGGATACTTTGCTGTGTTAGCTTGGTGAGGCCATTTGAAGTGCCCTTTCAGCCATCAGGTTGTTCCACTCAGTCCTCCCAGACCCAAGAGGCCTGACACGTTTGAAGTTAGACCCGTACTTGGTGATCCGAGCGAGCTTTCCTTCTGGAGTCCCCAGTTTCCTTGACTTAACGTGAGGAGAATGTGCTAGACTCAGGTTGCCCGTGAGGGTCAGGTGGGCAGCATGATGTAGGGGAGGGGGCTAGGCTGTGGGGATATACTGGTGAGCTGCCCCCTCTGGCGGAGGCAGAGGGTGTACCTGCTCTGCTCTGGCTTGGGGGCTGCAGGCTGGAATGTGGACCCAGGTGGGCCCAGGTCCCAGCGGGGCACCTTCTCCAGCCGAGGGAGACGTTGTGAGTTTCTCACCAGGGAAGCAGCGCTGACCAGCGGCCCGCGGGCTGTGCCTCCCCACCAAGACTGGCCTGTGACAAAGGGGCCTCCATGGCTGAGATGATTCTTATTCAGCTGCTTAACCAAACAGATCTTTCTGGAAATACATTGCCCAAGCCAGCCACTACTAGGAAAACAGTCTTGTAAAGAGACTTTCTGCTCAATGCATCTCTTTTGGGGGTTGGTTTGTTTTCCAAGTAGGCCATGGTGGCCAAGCTAGAGATTAAAGAGCTTTTTTCCAGAAAGGTGCAGTAAGAGGTCCTTAGAGCCCCTTCCTGAGAGCAGCCTCCCAGTTCCCTTTGGAGGAGCCCCTCCAGTATAGGAGCCCCTGCCACGTACAGGAAGGTGACTGGGTGGCCCCATTTCCGGATTCCCGGCAGGGTCAGGGCAGAGCCACGCCCCGGGCTCTCACAGGAACGGGGGTGGGCGGGAGGGCTGGTAGGAGGATGTTGGTGGAGCAGAGTGCTGGCCAGGCTCTTCAGGCGTGCAGGTGTCCCTCCAGCTCCCCGATTCTATGAGCACACCCCCACCCTCGCCATATCCTTCTAGTAACTTCTTTTTGCTCTTCCAGAGTTAGCATCTGTGGTTCGGACCATCGGTATCTGTTGCTCCCAGCAGATACAGGGCCAAATCACGTGGGGAAAGGCCTCAGCCCCAAGACCTCTTCTCGGGGAACTGTCAGCTGCCCGGGGCTCGGTGAGGCCAGGCACACACTCTCCCTTTACTGGGCCCTTAAGTTCCTAGTCAGAGGTCCTCGTCCCACTGTAGTTAAGGAAACCTGGCCACCGCAGGGTTAGGTATGTGTCTGTTTCTCCAGGGAGTAAGGAGATTATTTTAGTTAAGGGAGTGATTTAACCCACAGGAATGTTCAGCCCGGTTCTCTGACCCTCAGGTTAGAAGGTTCATTGACCCAAACCCCCAGTCGCCTAGGATTTACCAGGTACCATTTTTGTGCAGGGCCCTGAGGTGGGGGAGCTGGTTTAGGCTTGACAGCCAGCGGTCCCTGCTCTCGGTCGAGTGAGCGGCTGCGAGGTGGGTAGGGGGCAGGGACCAGATGACAGGCTGTTGGTGGGCTGGTGACGAGGCTCCAAGTCAGGCAGCCACACACAGCCTGGGCGCGCACGCACGTGCTGGCTGGCAGTGGCCGCGATGTGCTAGGCAGTCCTGTGTCAGGTCCGCAGCCCTCTGACCATGAGGCTGCAGAGCCCCCTGCCTGCCCGGTACATCCCCTTCCCACTGGCAGCCCCAGAGGGATCCACAGGGTGGACCCTGGACTGAGGAGGGCAGGCAAGCAAGTTCTCAGGAAGCAGAAAAAACATTATTTACAAAGAACATATTAAAAATACATGAGAGAAATCAGCCCACCCCCACCCCCCAGGTGTGACTTCCTTGTG